CAAAAGAGCAGCAGATGTGTCTGGTATGATCCGAGCGAAGGAGGCAGGCCGGGATCCTTTATCCAGGTGGGAAAAAGGAGGTTTTAGAGGGGCCAGAGTTGCTCAGAACATTGGGATGGGGGTATTGATGGATACTCTCAGGAGAAGCTTCCCTACCCAGGCACAGTTCTCTGAGCCAACACGGCCCCAGGCCAGCCCTCGATCCATCCTGGGTCCATTGAGAAATATCCCTTGAAATGTGGATCACGGCTTTCCTCTCCTCCTTGCTCAGAGTACCAGCTTCCAAAGCTGAGCTTATTTCTCATGGGAACCTTCTTCTGTCCCTACAGAGACCGAGAGCCCAGTTCATTCCCTGTACACCTCAGGGATTCTTGCCCTTGTCCTCCAACAGACCCCTACAGGAGAGCGGGAGCCCATGGGTCAAGCTCAGGGGTCTGTGACCTTGGGATTTCACTCAATTTTCATGTTGCCTCAACTCAAAGTGAAATGAGGATTTTCTTCCATTATAAATGCAGGTGACCCCACCCAGAAGGATTCGTGGTGACGGCGACTTGGTCACCAGTGAAACCACAGGTATTTATTGTCATGTCACATTACAGGTGTGATGAGAAATGCAGTCTTGCCATCCTGACTTCAGAAGTATGGTACTAGAGCTGTTGCCAGATTGTGTTCTTGAATGCCCTCCTAAGGAGCATATGCGTTACTCTACTTCGGTGTTTAATATGGCTTCTATTTTAAAATTGTAATTCTATACCTTCTAAAAATCTTATGCTGAGGAGACATCTGTAGGCTTCACCAGGTTGCCCCAGGGGTCCGTGGCCCCACAAGGTGGTGAAGGCCTTCTTGGTGACGGAATAAATGAAGCGATAGAGAGAAAGACAGTAGCGGAGCCCGGACACCCGAAATGACCATTAATGTTACTGTGTTATTGAAAAAGCTCCAGGAAAGCACATTGAGAGGTGTTCCCCAAAATGTCCAAAGGGGTCCACGTGTAGGAGCAGAACGTGGCTTTGTAGACCCTGAAACACAGGGGAAGAAAACAAGTCCCCTCTCCGTCTTCTCCTAGACCCTCCCATTAAGTCCAGTCTTAGGTGGGTGCTAACCCAGCTTGAACGCCCCTCCGAACGGCAGCCCTGCATCATCATGGAGGAGACCGCGGGCCTCCGTCTCCTGAGCCCTTGGAACATTGCTTTGTTTTCACTGCTTATCACGGTCCGGTTCCCTTCTATTTCTGGGAAGTGAGGCAGGGGGACTTTATTTATACTACCTAGATAAAGATTTCATTTTCAACAAATTGGGTATTTTGAAAAAGTGAGTCGACGGGGCGTCTGGGTGGCTCAGTCGGTGAAGTGTCTGCCTTTGGCTCAGGTCATGATCCCACGGTCCTGGGATCGAGCCCCGCGTGGGGCTCTCAGCTCAGCGGGGAGCCTGCTTCTCCCTTTCACTCTCCCTCTGTGCTCTCTCTCTCTCTCTCAAATAAATAAATAAAATCTTAAAAAAAAAAAAGAAAAAGTGAGTCGATTATAAAAATACATATTACGGAAATCATTATGAAGACGGTACCAGGGTCTGTAAAATCTGGGTATGCTACAGCACAATGCCCCTTCCCACCCCCAGTTTTACCAGTAAGGGAACTGGGGCCAGAGGCTCACCCAGTGCCTGTTAATTCCCTGGGCAAAGCGCAGGGCCTTTCCCTGTGGCGTTCTCTGCAATCTGCCCCTTCTCAGCCTCCTAGACCTCTGTGGGGCCAGGGGTAGAGAGGCAGGGACTCCAAGTCCCCAGCATGGGTGTCAAACATGCCTTCTGAGTGTCCTGGCTCCAGGGTCCCCCGTCCTGAAGGGCCCAGCTGAGTGGGGCTTTCATCAACCTCTGAGAGGTGGCAACAAGTCTCAGGGCAGGACGTCTGCTGCCCACTGTTCCCCACTTCTGCAGACCAGGCAGAGTGCTGGAAAGACTGGGAGCAAGATTCCAGAGGCATCTGGATATTATCAGTCACTCAACTGTCTGGCCAGTGGGGTGGGGTGGGGCTGGTGGCAGGGGGCAGAAACTGGCTGGAGGGTGGACTCAGAAATCCCACACAGATTCCTGGGGCCAGACCCAGCTCCTGGGAGGAGGGAGGAGGGCGGCCATGATGCGCACTGCCTGCAAATCCTGCACCCTGCCCAGCCCTCATTAGGCGGCAGGACCAAAGGCAACTGAAAGTCAATGATGTATTTATCTGACAGAGGAAGTGGGGCGGGAGGGGCTGGTGGGCAGAGAGGGATGAGAGAGGCAGCCAGACTACTCCACTGGGCAGCACTTGGGGACAGCAACAGGGCGGGGGGGCTAGAGCTGGCCCTCTGGTCCACTTGAGGATTCCTGCTTCAAAACTAACCCTGATGGCTTCCAGACAAGTCGGCACCAAGGGTCACTTCTGGAGGCTGTAAGTGTTGTTGATGGCAGCTGTAGGGACAGGTGTAAATCTGTCCATGCATTCCTTCCCGATACCCCTCCCATCTTTCTGCACCTGAAGCAGGTCCCATTTATTACTGCAAGCCCGCTCAAGAGGCCTAAACACACACACACACACACACACACACGAATGTGCGTGTTCACAGTTAATGCTTGGCCTGCCCTGAGGGTACATTTTTTTTTTAGCTCCCTTAAAGCAAACTCTATCAGCTGTTTGTTAAAGCAAAGCAAACACAAGCCTTTGCAACAAAAAAAGAAAGAAAAGGAAAGAAAAGAGAGGAAAAAAAAAAGGGAAAAAATCCTTTTATTTGCTACCATTAAAATGTTCTTTTAAAATACCTTTCTGGGCAGACCGGGAGGCCAGTTAGGGAGGAGGCATGGTCACAGGGAAGAGGAGCTCTGCTTTATTTGCACCACGTGGAGTGATGAGTCGGGGAGGGGCCACTCCATCTTAAGCAGCCTCCCGGCTAGTACGAACCCTCCTCCTCATCTCTCCCCGGCCCCCCACCCCATGAGCAAAGAGCTGCCTTCCCAGGACTAATGGGGGCTCCTCCCCACCATCCGCACCCCATCCCTCTCCAGAGGGAGCCTCTAGGAAATTGCCCTGTCCCTCTCCATCTCGACAAAATGCACGCTGGGAATCTGGAGGCCTCCAGAGGAATGCTTCCTCGTCTTGGCCAACTAGACCCCCACCAACCAAAGCTTCCTTGTGGGAACTGCGCGCTGGGGGAGGAGAGGGGCTTGGACGCCAAGCCAGCGAGCAAAAGAGGGAAAGGTAGCGTCTTCCCTGCACCCTGCTGGCCCCCAGGCTCTCGGCCACACGCTCCCCACCCCCACCCCCAAGGCCTTGCAGGGGGCCCTTGGAAACCCCTAATGAATGATAACTTATCTGCTACGTTGCTGGTATCTGATGCTTTCTATGGTTTTGAAAACCATATTCCCTGAGGGCTGGAGGCTACTTGGGGAACTGGTCAGTTGGAGCAGTTCAATCATGATTTAATGGAGGCATTTATACGGTGCTAGATCATCTCCGAATGTTAATACAGCAGGAGGGCGGCCAGGGTGTGGCGGGCTGTGCGCTCCCCCGCAGCTTCTGTCTCCCTGTGGCCATGCCTTCCCCACAGCGCCTTCCTTGGCTCCCACATCCAGCCCCCCCACCCCCGCACTCTCTTCTCTGCCTTCCCTGCCTTCTGTGTCCCTGTCCTCTGTGTATCTCTGCGCTTCCCTCCGTCTCTACACTTGGTCCTCTCTCTCTGCTCCTTCTCTTCTCTTGTCCTCTCGCCCCCACCCCAACTCTGCCTGCCCAGGTCTCCCTGTCTCCGGTCCTCCTGCCCGCATTGCCTCTCTCCCCCCCCCCCCACCCTGGCTCTTCTCCAGGTCCCTCCCCGCCCCTCCAGGTGTGTAAGGGGCTCTGTCTCTGGGCGTCTGCCTGTCTTTCTCTTTCTGTTCTCTCCTTGGCCCCCTTCTCCCCAAGTGTCCCCTTCCTCCTTCTCTCCCCCACTTCTCCCTGTCATTGTCCTTCATTCCTCCATCTCTACATCCTTCTTTCTCTTCTCTCCCCTCCCCCTCCCTCCCCCCCCCCAGGAGTTCTCAGGCTGGTTCAAGGCCCCTGCCACAGTTTGCAGGGACCCAGAGCACTGGGGAAGGGGACAGTGGGTTCCTCTTGCTGTTTACAAGCCTGGGCCTGGGAGTGGGGACCTCGTCACGTACAGTGACACTGAGAGCCCAGAGGCCTTTGGGGCCCCACCCTGCGCCTGAAATGCCTTCACATGCAGCCCTGCCTCACTGATGGAGGGCAAGGCTCCCCCCCCCCCCCCCCCCCCGCCATAGCATTGTTCCTTCATCCTCCACAAACTCTTTTTTCCTCAATAGATCTGAGAAACCTTCCCTCACCTCAGGGGGATGGAGAAGACCTGGGGCCTGGTGCCGGGGCTGGGGTGATGGAGAAGGCCTGGATTTGAATTCAGGACATCTGGTCTCTAAGCCCAGCTGGGACCCTAACTCCTGGGCAAGAGGAGCAAGCGAGCACTCTTATCTTTGGGATCGCTTGCAGTTTTGAGATCCCGGGATTTGGGAAGGGGACCCACAGGGGCATTAAGCTTTGAATGGGAAGCTTGAGAAAGCATCTCACCTCAGTGGCTACTTGGGAGGAGAGCAAGAAATGGAGCTTCAGGCAGAGCTGGGAACAGAACTGGGTGCGAGGAATACTAATAGAGACAGGGCTTAATATATGCTAGATAGTCTTCTAAGAATATACGGATAAATACTTCTCAGAACTCTAAATATATATAGTATATACTTTGAGTACATGTATATGATTGATACTAAGTATGTATTAAGAGTAGATGAGGGCGCCTGGGTGGCTCAGTTGGTTGGGCGACTGCCTTCGGCTCAGGTCATGATCCTGGAGTCCCGGGATCGAGTCCCACATCGGGCTCCCTGCTTGGCAGGGAGTCTGCTTCTCCCTCTGACCCTCCTCCCTCTCATGCTCTCTGTCTCTCATTCTCTCTCAAATAAATAAATAAATAAATAAATCTTTAAAAAAAAAAAAAGTAGATGAGATGAATAGACTGCGCCCAGAGAGTTCAGGGGTCCAAACAGCTAATGTTTAATGAGCACTTATTATGGGCCAAGGTGTGGCTGAGCAATGTACGCACCCGATGTCATTTCGCCCCTGCCATGTCCTCTGTGGCAGGACCTGTTATCCTGGTTTTCAGAGGAGGTAACTGAGGCTTAGAAGGGCCAATGGACTCATAGGAAGGTCTAAGGCTCTGATAGGCCACCTCTCAAAGCTCAGCAGGAGGTGTGTCAACACAGCCTCGGTGAACCACAGCTGGGTCTGCAAATGTCCCCAGGCCAGCAGCAGCAGTGCCATCCCCGCGGAGCCGGCAGCCACACGGGAACCTGCTCCGCGCACCCCCAAGCGTGCACCTGCTGGCCAGGACCAAGCTTGCCCTGCCTACAGCCCGGCACCCCCCACTGCCGACCGAGCTCAGGCAGGCTGTGGGGGGCCCTCAGAGAAGACTGGGGTCCTGGCGTTGGTGGGCTCCATTCCTAGGGTGGCAAGCGAGACGGCAGCAGCGTTTCGTCTCCTCTTCTGGGCGCGGAGGTGGGTAGAAGTCCGCGGTGAACGGGAGCGGGAAAAGAAGCAGGGTTCGTCTGGACCCCCCGCCCCTTCACACGCAGCAACTGCGCTCCCACCACCAACCAAGCCATTCTCCATTCCTCCTCCTCCAACCGTGTGGCCGGCACGTCGCCAACCGCAAAGCAGCGGGGAAACTGAGGCCCAGAGCGGTTGGCGCCGAGCGCGAGCGGGAAGCTGGCCAGGCTGCTGCGTGGGCGCCAGGCAGGTTTGTGGCGAGCGGAAACCGCAGTCCCGGGCCTCCTCCGAGAGACGGGAGGCCAGCCAAGCACGGCGCAGGCACCTCTGGGCCGCGGGGGAAGCCAAAGTCGGCCAAGTCGGCCAAAGAAGGAAGGAAAAGTGCGGGTCGGGGCTGCGTTGGGAAAGCACACGTTCACCGAAATCATCCGGGAGTCTAGGACCTTCTGGAGGCGGCTTGGGAAGGGCCTGGGCGGTGGGCACGGCAGGGAGGGCACCGATCCACTCGGGTTTGCTTCCGTGGCTCGCACCCTGGCGGGAGGCGGCACATGCACGTTCTGACCTCCACTTCAGAGTCCGGATTCCATGTGCAATTGAGGGAGTGAGAGATGGAAGCAGAGACAGAGCTAGAAAGACAAAAAGACGGGAGAGAAATGCAGAGTCCGAGAGGTTCGGGCCTTGCGCCCAGCGGAGGAGGCCAGGTGGTTCTGACCACCCTCGGCCTGTCCGTAAACATTCGGGGCGGCGGACAAAAGAGCCAGGCGCCGAGGCCGAGCGCCTCCCTGGAGGGTAGAACCCTCAGCCTCGCCTCCCCTTGGCGGGATGCCTCCAGGAAAACCACTTCGCCGCTCTGAGCCCTGAGTTCCATACCTCCATACCTTCAGTGCAGGAAGCTGGCGAGCGGCACAAAAAGACCTTGAAAGAATTGGGTTTACGATTTGTGCCTCCCCTCCCTTCCCTCCACCAGAACTGCTTTGGACGAAAACACCCTGGTCTTCCCTGCCTGGGTTGACAGGGAATGACTAGAGATACTGGAGGAGGAATGTACACAGCAGGCGCTCAATCATTGCTCACGTGTTGCAAGTCTGCCTTAATTCTAAGGCCCCATCATATGGGGACACAGATGACCGGTTACCAAGCCCTTTCAAAACCACCTAGAGGGCTCTCCTAACCACCGTTAAGAGCCCCCGATCGGAGGTGACCCAAGGATGAAGAGTCGTGTCCCCAGGAACACACTGCAGGCCTCAGGGGTCCAAAGCCGGGGCTCATTTCCACCCAGTATCCTAAGTCAAGGATTAACAACATCCCCAGCGCTGTCCCCGAACCACCCAGCTCCAGATCCTACTAGGCTGAGGCTGGGACTTTATTTTTTATTTTATTTTATTTATTGATGAGACTGAGAAAGAGCACGAGAGGGGGGAAGAGGAGGGAGCTGAGCGGGGAGCCCTACGTGGGGCTCGATCCCAGGACCCGGGATCATGACCTGAGCCGAAGGCAGACGCTTAACCGACTGAGCCACCCAGGTGCCCCAAAACTGGGACTTCAGAGAGAGACGACGGGTCTCTTGCGGAGAACCTGGGGATCGAACGACGCGGCAGGGAGAGGGGAAGGGAGAGCCCGGGTAGGAAACCCAAGCAAAGTTCAGGGAGCAGGGGAGAACCGGAGAAGGCTCTGGCCCTGTAGGAAAAGGGAAAAGCAGCGAGAGAGGAGATACAGAAACAGAGACGCAGACGACGGAAGGGAGAGCCCGAGGGAGTGCGCGAACCCGCTCCGGGCGCAAGGCGCCTGGTGCAGGTCGGCCAGAGGCGCCCCAGCTCTGTTCCCCACCGGGCCCTACTGAGCCCAAGGGGAGCGCCCCACCGACCAATTTGGCATGCACAAAACCCGCGCCCCAGGGGCCTTTGCCAGGCCGCTGGGGCTTGATTCATTTCTTGACTAATTAACTGGAAGCTACGTCGCCCCTTCTTTCAGGGCCCAATTAATTCGCCGCGGGCGGTGGGGCGGGGGCCGTGAGGCTGAGGCGCCCGCCTGGAGCCCCTTTGTGAAGGGCTGTCTGGACCATATTGATTCCACACACACACACACACACACACACACAGACTCCTTCCTTCGTACAAAAAAAAAAAAAAAGTCTTGAAAGCCCTGGATTGCCAGAGTTTAAGGATTGTCAGACTTGCACTCCCTCCTCCCCCCACCCCGCCCAGCCGCTTGCATTAGCTTCCAGAAGGAAGGGACCCGCGGGCCAACGCAGTTTCCAGAAAAGCCTGGGAAAGGGTTAAATGGAATTTCTCCCCCGTAGAGGGCAAAGAAGTAAAGGAGACAGGTGACCACCGTGTGCCTACTGTGTGTGCGCGCAGGGAAGCCGTGCCTCCCAGTTAAAACCCAGACAATAACATAGACAATCCCCAGGTGGAATCCCAGCTCCAGAAGACACTAACTAGCTGTGGCACCTGGGGCAAGTCTTTGTGTCTCTCTGCATGACTCAGTTTCCTCATCTGGATAATGGAACTCACTGAGAAGGCTCTTGCCTCCTCGGACTGTTGTATTTGATGAGCGGATGGGTGGGAAAACTCTTAGAACATTATCATCCACCTGAGCATTTCACAAATGCTGTCTTCAATACATAGCATTTCATAAAAACCCCATTTCACAGATGAGGAAGCCAGGGCTATGGAGCGCAGACCTGCTGCGCAATGATCCTGGTGCTTGCTTCCAAGGCCAAGGCGTTCCAGAACGAAATCTACCAGTGGGCTTCTCCAGCACTCGACGGGCTGGGTGCAAGTGGAGAGCGCTCTCCCCGCCTGCTGGACCCAGAGGCTTACTTGGAGGGGGCTGGAGCCTTCTTCCCGCCCACCTACCCTCATCCTCCCTCCAGTTCAGTACTGATTGCGGGGGGGGTGGGGGGGTGGAGAAACTCCAAATCCCAAAAGCTTCCAGTTGGAACCCAGCACGTGGCAGCGGCAGTGACTTCCCAGCGGTTGTGGGGACCTCATCGATTGTACTGACCTCACGGTGGGTCTACTTGTCTCCTTCATCGATCAACCGAACGAAGTCTAGGACTAAAATAAAAACGCAAGGAAATCACAACCGTCTTTGTAAAGCTAGTGGGAAGTGGCCCTGCTGCGCCAGAACGCGCCGGTGACCCAAGCCGGCCCCACGCCCAGGCAGCGCAACGGGAAACCGAGCTTCTCACCTCACTCCCCTTTATTTGATCATCGTTTCATTTTTTTTGTTGTTGTTGTTCTGTGCTATGTTGAAAACAAAAAAACAAAGAAGGATTAGTTTATTCAATCAACAAACACTTGATGAACACACTAAATGTACCAGACTGCGCTGGTCATTGGGGTACTAAGGAGGAGGGGGGTCTGCCCAGAAGCATAAAATCCTGGCGGGGAAGGGGTTGTAAAGGTTTCTTTGCTGTCGCTTTTTAGCAAATGTGACCTTAGGTCAGGCTCCCTAGCTATCTGTCCCACAGTCCTCTGTCCGTGAAGAGCGACAACACTGTCCAGCCCTAGCTAGACAAGATGTAGGCGCTGCCTGGTAGAAACGGATGGAAGAGTCTAGAGGTTAGATCCTTCAGCACAGCCCCAGGCTCAGAGTGTGGGGAGCAGATCTGGGGAAGTCCTTTGCGAAGCCTCGACGGTGTGTAGACTCCTTACTCCTGAAAACTGCTGGGAGCCCGCGATGAGATTTTCAGGGCTCCCCGTCGCTGCTGCCTCTTCCCGAAAGCAGAAAACCACCTGGCCCTACCTCCCCCAGCAGGCAGAAAAGCTGAGGCTGGCCTGCATTTGGCCTTCCCGCCTGAGACCTTGAATGGAAGCCCTCTCCCATCCCACCCTTCCTGGGCCTCGACTTTTCTCATCTTTAAAATGGAAATGTACATGTATATATACTCATCGCAGTGAATAAGGCTCAGGACAATGAGCATCAAGCCAGCCAGGACCCAGTGTCTCCAGCGCTTAGCAGGGAACCTGGACCAAGAAGCCCCTCAGTCGATATTTGTGGGATGACCTTCTCCTCCCACTACCACCCTTTCACTGTTTCGCTTTACATATCAGAATCTGTTTGCGGAACATCTAATAAGTTTGATGCTGTTTTTCTAAAAATGCACTTTGGGAGCAGTCATTTGTTTCCAGATGCACGGAGAAGCCCCTTTAGTCCTTCTCCCCTTCTTCGTTGACTTTTATTCCTCTATTGAAAGGTTATTCACTGAGCACTTATCAGTTGCCAAGCACTGTGATCTGTGATCGGAGTTGGACATAGGATGAGTCAGTTTTCTCCTTCTAGGAGCTTACAAAGTAGAGACCTAATATTAGTCTCTCCTAGCTGGACCATGTGGCCAATAAACCTCTTTGGTTATGGTTGATTTTTTTCTCTCTCTTTCTAGCTCTTTAAGTAACTTTGACCAGATCATAAAGTCTAACGCAGTGCCTGGTACACAGTAAGCGCTCAACAAGTGCTCGATGAATTTATTCTTCCCAATACTGTAGCCACAGCTCCTCCTTTGGCTGCGCAAGAGGTCTTCCGCGCCTTCAGAGACACCTCCAAATGAGGGCTCCATTACATCGGGGTGCAACTCCAACCCTGACATTCCCAATTCCAGGTACAATTCAGGCTGGTAAGACCAGCCACTCCGACTTCAACCGAGCATGTCCAGACCGGGGGAGCACCGGGTGGGCCTTTGCAAAAGGGGACGCGGGACTGTGAGGTTCTGCAAACCGTGTACCCGTTTTGCATCTCCACACCTGTCTGGCTGTCCTTTCCAGACCTCCCGTCCCGCATACACACCTTTCCCGGTAAACAAGAGCTAGAACAGACGGCGCCTAAGAAATGAGGCGCCAGTTTGCGCTGAGAACCCCCTTCCCCCACATCCCGGGTCTAGCCTAGCCTCTCTGCATCCAGCTTCCAGGTTTGGGAGACTGTGAGTGACCCTCTCCCGCCCCAGCCTCCAGGAACAGCCTTGGCCTCCTGGTGCATCCGGAACTGCCTCTGCGGAAGCTCAAAACTGAGGTCCCAAGCCCGCGCGCGTCGGTGGAGATTGGCTCAAGCTCTGCGGGGCCCTCAGAGGTCGGCTGTCCGCCGCCGCGTCTCCCCCGAGCGCCATCCAGCGGCGAGACGGCAGGGCCACCCTCCGCAGAGGTTCCGGGCGCGCTTCTCCAGAAGCGAGGAGCGCAGGTTTCCAAGGGGGAAGCAGTCCCTTCCTCCACCCACCTGCCCCCCCCCGAACCAAATGAGGGCACATCCATCTCTTATGCCTCCCCACGTACTTCCCGCGCTGCTTGAGGCTAATTCGGGTTCACCCGGCGTTCAACACCACCCTCCCCCTTTTATTTATGCCCAACATATGCACTGGACAGGGAATTTTTTTCAAGGCGAGCAGAAAGAAAAGAAGGAACGAGAAAAAATTAAAAGGGTGTTTGCACCGCCATTGCCTGGAAACCTTCCTGTGGCGGCTCAGGGGGTTTCATCCCGGGCTGGGTGACTCCTGCTCGCCCTTCGTTGCGAACGGACGTGTTAAGTCCTGCCTCCCTAATTCTACGCCTATGACCTTATCCTGGTTAGAGTCAGGCGCTCTGACTCCCTGCCCTTGCATGCAACCCAGCCTAGAAAACCTCCTCCCCGCGATCCCCATGGGCGTCCACCCCCACCCCAGATGAGTGTCCAGAGTGGCAGTTTAGTGCACACGGAATCCTAAATGCAGAGGGAGAAAAACACCATTCTTCATACACCCAGAATGTTATCGCTAATTTTTTGGAAAAGTGCCTGTGTACACACATATTACATATATTACTGAGCGGGTTAGTGCAAGACTAAGAATACCGAACAACAGTGTGTGTGTGTTGGGGGGGGGGAGACATATTCTCCAATTCCCTGGTAATTTGTAACAGGCAGACTTTATTGCTCAGAGAGAAAAGGAGTAGCTGCGGAGCTGCAAAACGAATTTAACTCTGTCTATATTGATCAAATGGGAGTCCGCCCGTGGGGTGTGATTGCAATGCATTTTTTAATCTGAGATTTAATTTCATATTTGGGGCTACTTGGAATGTCCATATGTACACACTTGTACCCACATAGGACATTTTGGTACCACACATGCATATTCTATTACATTTAAATAATGCAGTGGAATATAGCCTTTAAGTTGGGCCCATACATGGCTCAGCAAGCTCCCCAAACATTAGGGAGATCTAAAATGAAGCCCTAGAAAGCTCAGAAAGCCAGGCCCTCCTCTCCTCCAGATTCGGTTTGGGGCAATCTTCTGATATCCCAACTACAGGGGATTTCTTTGGCTCCTTACCTCTCCTTCACCTAATCTCTCCAACTAAAAAAGTTTATAATAATTCAACTCCAATATCCCTGTTATTAAAATCTGTCTTATTCCCTAAAAATAAAAAAAATAAAAAATAAATCATAACCCACACTCAAAGGGCCTTTCAGTGACTCCAACAATTCTCCAATTCTAGGCGGAGAAATGAAACAGAGGAGTTGTCCTGGTTATTCACGGCACTATACGAGGACATAAAAGTGAGTGCAACATCATATTTTAACTTGTCTAATAGCCAAATCCTAACTCTGGCCCACCGGTCTTCCTCCTCCCTACTTTCCTCTAAAGGACTAGAATCTTGGAGGGGTGGGAGCTGGATGGGGGGGTGGGGGCAGCGGTGAAATAAAGGCGCTTGGAAAGGGTAAAAAAAAAAAAAAAAGGCAAGCCATTATTTACACCTGCAAACTTGGATGGCTGTATTCGGCCCCAATTGGCTTAATTGTAAATCTTTTCCTCATGGCCCCAATTCCTGGACGGAGCGTCTGGGTTTAATAATGCGCCCCGGCACCCCAGCAGCGCCGGGCTGAAAAGAGAGAATCCCCCCGCCCCACCCCCACTCAGCGCAGAGGTAATTAGAGCAGCCCCCCCCCCACTACACAAACTCTGCTTGAGGTACCAGAAGACCAGAGTCAGACATGTGGGGAACTCATATTTTACCGTCTGAAGACAAGAGGAGCTATTTCAAAAGCGACTGTAGCCTCCAAGTCAGAAGTGGGGGGCAGCGCTCCCCCTCCCCGGCCTTGCCCCCAGCGCGTTTGGCTTGTAGGGGGGCGAGCGGGAAAGAGGCGTCTGCACGCGTAGCCAGACACAGCCTCCACCTCCCTGGGCCGGCAGTGTAGGGCTGACCTGTTTATAGAACTTGCTGTTAAGAAAACATGTAAAAACACACCCCAGCGGTGGGAGCGGAGAACGCTCCCTCGCACCCCACCCTCTCTTTGTACACGAAGATTCTCCCCGGACTCAGCTCGGTGGCCTTGGTTTTCCTCCCCAGGAGGCTAACTCCTTGCAATTGTTTTTCCATCCAGTATGAGAGCCCGAGAGGGCTACATTTCTGCTTTATTTGGGGGGAACCCCCGCACCCCCTGCGCTAAAGGTCTTTACTAACCACCCCGGATTTGTCCATTGCCAGCAGGAGTGGAGGGGGAGATGGGAATCACTGCGGTAAAAAGGCCACTCGGGCGCTGGGTGTTGGGGCGGGTGGGGGTGCTCCTCACCGAACCCCGCTATCCCTAGTGTGAGCTCTCGAAGAGGAAAGGCCTGCGTTCCGCGGACCGCCCCGCGCGCTTTCTGCGCTCGCACCCGGAGCCCGCGCGCGCCGCCCCGGGAGCTGCGGAGGGAGAGCAGGTAACCGCGCAGGGAGCCGGGGTGCGCGATCCGGTGACTCCCGGGCCTGCCGGACCTCCTCGCCGGGGGCAGGCCAGCCTGTGCGGGGGACCCCCCCCCCTTTGCTCCCCCGTGGGCCGGTGCGGCGGGCCGGGCCAGACCCGAGCCTCGACCCCGCCACCGCCGGGTGCGGGTGTAATCGGAGGCGGCGAGCGTCTCCTCGGGTTCCGCGCTGGGCGAGGCCTGCAGCCGCACCGAGCACGTCCAGCTTCCGTATTTGGAACCCGGGTAAGGCGGGTGCCATGGCAGGGGAAGCACCCCGGGGCGGAATCCATCGCCGAGAGGACCGGATGGGGCGCTCTGGGCTGTCGCTGCCTCACCCTCCTTAACGGGGGTGGGGGTGGGGGTGGGGGGGCGCAAGTTTTCCCTCCCCAAGGGAAAGTTAGAAAGGACATTGCCAGGGAAGTTTCCTGGATCTGGAAGGCCGCTCCTCTCTGCCCTCCCGCCCGCCTGCCAGAAGGGTTTTTAATATTTGGCTTGGAGATGAAATGAACTGAGGTCTGGGCGCCAGCTAAAGCAACTCTTAGGAAAAGCGCTTGGACAATTCCAAACATTCCCTCTTTCTATGTATGTGTGTGTGTGTGTCTCTACCTCGCTCTTCTTCCTCTCAGAAATAAATACGATTTTAAAAAGAAAAGAGAGACTTCTCTAACTCTCAGGTATTCAGACCCCAAGCTGGAGACATTTAAAGGCTTTTGGGGTCACCGAGGTCACACTGTCACCCAAACCTGGAGCTCAGGTTGGGAGACAGAGAACAATCCCTCCAGCCCCCCCAGCCTCCCCCCCCCCCCCATAGCTCCCTGGATATTGCACACGACTCATGCAGGATTTGCTGTGTACTCTTTGGAGACAGGGATGATTCCTTTGGGAGCAAGTCACCTCCGACTTAAAGACACACTGTAGAGGCCTCAAGTTTCTTTTTGAGGTGGAGGCCGCGGCTACCCAGACTGTCAGCTAATGAAGACTGACGCTGGGGTTCAGCGATGCCTCCCCCTCCCCAACACCCATTTTCTGAGTGGCCCTGGTCCAGGGTCAATGATCACAGAAGACAGAGTGGTGGAGGGGCTGGAGCTTGGTTCCAGATTGTGAGGAGCCAGTTTGGCCAGAGAAGTTTCCCTGGGCGTGCAGCCGCTCAGGGACAGGCCAGGCCTGCAGTCAGGATCTTGAATCTAGGGCTCACACCCTAGCCTTAGCAGCAGGTTTCAGAGTCCCCGTTACCTGCCAGGCATGCCAGAGAACCACAGGATTCCATTTTCCATAGGATTGTACAAGGGAGAAGGGGTTTTAGCCGCTTTCAATGTGACAGTAAGACTTGGAACCTTAAATGCTCAGACCCCTCCAGTCCTCGAAACCCCATGCGCACAGAGGGAAGGCAAACCCCTCCCCAAAGCCATAGGTCCCCCAGGGACAGCTACATCTGGGGGGCTTCACGGTGTTATCTGCTCCTGGGCTGGGGAGACACGAAAACATCACTTTGGCTGCACGTATGGCAAGGAGCGGCTACACACGCACACACACACACCCCTTCTGTGTCCACTGTTCTCTTTCATTTATCTCCTGCCTTCCCTCTCTGCTCTCACCCTCTTTAACTGAAACCCAGTACGGGAACTAGTAATGGATATTGTGCTCCGATTGAGAAAACGTGTCTGTGGCTAGGAGGGGACAGTTAGTTCAGCTGATTTGGAGGAGCCGATCTTTCTTGGCCCTGTCAACCTCCCTGACAGTAGCAGAATGTCATTAGCCATGCCCCCCTAACTGACACACCTCCCTGTTCCCTGGCCCCGGCGGCTCTCAGAGGGCGAGGCCCCACTGCCCCCCACGCCCTGGCGCCAAGTAACACCACCGGTGCATAAAAACGGGGAGGAGCAGGGAACCATGGCAGTCGGCTCTCCCCGTCAGAAGAAACCCCCCAATCTACCGTCGGGAATTGGAGAGTGTACCGTTGTATTTTTCCTCCACCTTTTTAAAGGATTCTGTCCCTTAGACCCCCACCCCACAAGCCAGATCCCTGGTATTAATCGCCAAGGGACCAATGACACCCTTACCTGTCTGGACTGAAAATCTGGAAAGAGGATGTTGAATAAACAAAGGTGTTGGGTGGTCAAAGTGCCTGAGGGCCAATCCAGCTCTGGCCTGCGTCTTGCTGATTCTGGGTCAGATAAGACGGGAGGAAAAATTCCCCGGCCTCTTCCTCATGAATTCATTTCTGCTGGACTAAGAGAAGTCCATGCGTTATTTTTTTTTTAAGTAATTGGGTAAAACACACAAAGAGAACATTGAAGATGTAGATTGGTTTGAAATTAGGAAACCACAATTAGTTCCTTTTCCTGAGAGAGAGAGAGAGAAACCCTTCACAGATGTATAAAAGGCACTCTTCCCAGACACATACACACTCCTTATCCCCCCCCCTTGTTTCCCTTCCAACTTATCTAAATCACTAGCCATGTACAAATTTGCCATTTTCCAGGGCGATCGGCTTTGATGAAAGGTAGGTGCTAATAAGAATAATGCAGAGGGTGAAATCTTTCCATTTTGTTTCTGCCAAAACCATATTTACATTAAAAGGAGGTATGATAAGCATGGATTAAGCGAATAACGGATGATGCTCTAGAAACAGCATAAACCAACTGGCGCCAAAGTGAGCCTCCGTACTAAAAATACTGCTTCCCCAAGCTAGACAACTTTGACAATCTTTTCTCTCTCTCTCTCTCTCTCTCTCTCTCTCTCTCTCTCTCTCACACACACACACACACACACACACGCACGCGCGCGCTTCAGACTCTTGCACTGAATCGCCCTGATCAATAATTTAGAGGGCTGTCAGAGGACAGGGAAATGTGCCTTACAAGAAAGCCCTGTGCTGCTGGGGCAAGGCGGGGACTAGGAGCCAAGGCTTTAGGGTAGCCTCCTCTCACCCTGGGCTCCTGCCTTTGAAAGGAGATAGAAAGGGAGGGGGAGAGATCCTGGGGTAGGGGAGGCTGACTTTGGGGATCCCAAAAGGAGAAGGGGATACTTCCAACCTACACAAATGGGCCCAAACCCATTTCTATCTCTCAGGACACCTTATCTTCTTCCTAGCCAAGGGCACAAGGGGGAGGTGCTGGCTAGCTCCAGCCTGTCTCGATTACTGACAAAGATGGGGGGGTAGGGAGGGGATACAGAGGTAATCCAGAAATCCAGAAAAGCAGAAGAGAATTCAGGGAGGGCCAAGAAAGCCAGAGAAACCAGAAAGGGGGAAAGAAGAGGCAGAAAGAGTGGGAACGAGAGTAAATCAGAAACAGAAGGAACAAGAGAAGTTAAAGGCGGGGGGGGGGGGGGGAGAGGGTTGCGGGTGGTAGAGACAGACAAGAAGGGGAAACAAAAAGAACAAGACAGATGCAAGGGAGAGAAGAGAAAGTTCAAGGAAACACAGCAAGAAAGATCACATGGATCTATAGTCACACAGTCCTGAAAGATGAACAGAGAGACAGGGACACCAACAAAAAAAGAAAGAGAGAGAGAGAAAGAGAGAAGGAAGGAGGGAGGGAGGGAGGGAGGGAGGAAGGAAGGAAGGAAGAAAAAGAGAAGAGAAGAAGAAGGAGAAGGAGAAGAAGAAGAAACAAAAAATGGGTGCTCTGTCTGGTCCAACCAAGAGGCTTGTACCTACCCCAGAGGGAGGGAAAGATAGGGAGGCTAATTCTCCAACAAACTGAATGATCTTGCAGCCTCCTGGCCAGGGAGGAACTGAGCTCTAAAGCAAGCTTGGGGTGGGGGGTGTGTGTGCAGTGAATGCAAAGCTCCAGGAGGAAAATCTAGCTTCCCTGGTCTGTGCAGAGATCCTCCACTGGGTCCATAACTGCATGTAGCAGAGTCAAGGTTTGGGGTAGCACCAGAGTGCTAATGTGGGGAGGGGGGTGCTAACAGCATTTCGCAGGAGGAATCACAAACAATAAGCGAGGCACTGGGTGGGTGGGGGAGCGGATTCCCTGGGATCCGGGTAAGAAAATCAAATCACCAGTTAGCAGAATGGAGAGCGGAGGAAGATAGGAGCCCTAAAGCAGACAGTTTCAAAGCTGGTCAATTAAAAAGGGGAAAAAAGCGCCTAAATCCAAAGTGGAGGGGGTGTGTGTGAGCAGAAACAGGGAGCCCTCCCTACACTGCCAAGCGACCAGAGAGCCCCTCCCCAGTAAAAGTTTACATATTGACCGACCACCGTAGGAAACTTCTTAATTAGGCCTCAGACCCCTGGAGAAACAGGGATGTCCTTATGTCAACAGAGTTTCCAATTTAGCGACACCTCGGACTGAAAAAAGCTCCGCGGCAAACGGGGGTGAAAGTTTAAGAGGGAATAAGCGTGTAATAGTCCCTCGCCAGACCTCACACATGCTGAAGAGAATATTTACAGCAAACTTGCCAAAGTAAACCACCCCGCCTACCCACCATCCTTTCCCCCCGTCTCCCCCCCTTTTTTGTAAACTGCAGATAAACAGCATTCGGTCACCAAAGGGTCGGTTGGTCCCCTTTATAGTTTGAGGCAGGCGATGCCATAGGGAAAAGTAGGATCGAGCAGAGGCTTCCTGGACGATCTTTGGCAAGGCTAGCTTTTCTGCTGCGTCCGTGGCCTGGGCAGTGGCTTGGTTTCGCATTTGTGTGTGTGTATAGGAAATTTGTTCTGAGGTTCCTCTACCCCTTCCCCACTTTACCATCTGCACACACACACACACACATACACACAGAGCTTGGCCTTAAAAACTGCAGGCATTACAGATACGGAGAGGTGGGTTTAATTAAAAAAAAAAAAAATCAGGCCTGCAGAAAGGTCTTTCTTCTGATCTGGGGGCCATCAGAAGTTCCCTGGGTCCCCTGCGATCCAAACTTCAGCCCCCCTGCTCCTTTCTCCCGCCCTTAAAGCACCGCTCCTCAGACTCAGCGGAGGGGCAGACTCATTCAGCGTTTCCCGAATGTCTTTTGTTGAGCGCGAGGCGGGGAGAGAGAGACTATCGAGGGGTTCTGCAAACAGAGAGAGGGAGAGAGAAGGCCGTGTAGACCCCGCGCCTGGGGCCGAAAGCCGCGGGCCGGGGGCGCGCTAGCCTTGCGCGTTCCCCCGGCTGCCAGGCTTGGCGCAAGTCTCCAGAAGGCGCTGGCCAGTGTTTCACCCGAATGCGATGGCCACCAGGCCGCTTTTGTTTGTTCGCAAATTAATCACCCAGCGCACGGCCGGCGCCAGAGTGGGTTTATCACCCACCGGGAGGGGGGCGCGACGGCCCAGCAAAGACAAAGAGGAGTTCGCACCTTCCCGCTTTTGATCCCAAGTTGCCGCGGCCTCCCTGCAGAATACGAGCCTCCTGGGGCCGAGTCTGGGAGGTCGGTCATAATTGGCGGAAGTTTGCAGACCATTAGCAAGACGTGGACATTTTCGAATCAGACCCCGCAAACTTTCCTCTCTTCTCCACCCCCCCCTCACCCCTTGCGAGCAAGAATGGGAGCGGGGATTATGAAGTGGCAACTAGGGTGACCCCAGGGTTAAGTTAGAGCTAGGGGCAAAAATAGGCATTTGAGGGAGGGGGCGGTGTGAGGGTCAGAGATCCCGCTCGGTCCACTCTGGGGCCAAAGGCAAGTCGAGATATTTACAAGTAAAATTAGCAAGCTCCCTTCCCACGTCCAAGACTTTAGGGAGGCCAGGAAGCCGAGGCCCTGGTGGAAATGTCTCTCCCGAGCATCTGGACGCTTGGGGCACCGAGAGAGGAGGGGGTCAGTCACGTTGTGCCAGCAGAACTGCTTTCCTTCTACTCCCAGCGGCCGGGCAGAGATTGGCTGGCGAGTGCAGGCAAAACCTGATCGCGGGGATTTGGGGCCGCTCCTGAAAGCGCCGCGGCGCTGCCCGCGGGCTCAGGCGGCGAGCAACGTGGGGGAGGGGGTGGGTGTGGGCCTCCAGAGACTCGTGAAACCCTGCGGTGACCTCGGTGGACGGCGTAAGGAGGGGGAAGGCCTGGCCTCTCGCACCCTCCAGGATCGGGCCGCTGAGGGACGCGGGAGGTGAGTGGGTGGGTGGGTGGGGGCCGAAGTGAGCCGATACCCTGGGCCCCTACCGCCTCTTGCTTTTCTCTCCCGCTTTCTCTCTTCTCAACCACCGGCAGAGAGACCCCGAGAGGACGCCAGAGAAAGGCCGAAAGGGAAAGAAAGGGGCGAGATGGCGAGCCAGACGGAGTTCGAAGAACCACTCCATTCTCTCTGGTGACTTTAGGGAATTCTCTGCGCTGGCGCCAAGCGCTCTTAACCATGTGCGTCAAAAATGCGAGGCTGGAAAAGCTTGTCGCCTCAAAAGTTCCGCCCCTATCTCGAGGCGGTTGGCCCACAAAAGAAGTGCATTTTCACCCTCCACTTGCTCCCATTTCGGAGTCTGGGGGCTGGGGGCCTGGGGGTCCACAAGGCGAACTAAGAGAGGATGGTTCTGACTGTCTACGCAGACACACACACACATATCCCAAGCCCTGGGTTTCTTAACCCCCTAGGCCCCGAAACCAGCCCTTTCTCCTTTCCTTTCCACTCGAGGCAGCTCTCAACTCAGGAAGGGTAAAAGAACATTCTCCCCCAAGATTTCCCTCCATCTAAGCAGGGACGGCCCAACTCACTGCCCCCCCACCCCATCCGCAAAAGCGAGGAATGTGGGTTTGGGGAATCCTCTGACCCAGACAGGGACCTGCGGTAACAGATATCAATTCGGCGACAGGTCTGATTTCGTAAGTTCCCTCCCTCCCACCCCTGCACCCTCGCTGACGCCCCCACCCTACCTGAACTGGAACAGTCACCTCGCCTCTGGGGTGGGGGCGTATCACGGTTTGTTCTACAAATTCACCCCCGACTTCTGGTGAGATAAGTCCCCGGGTGCACGGAGAGATAAGTGCGACGCCTGGAGATTATACCAGGAGGGCGCGCCTCCCCCTCCCAGCTCGCCCGCGGCCCGGGGAGGTGAGGACAGCGGCTCCGCGGGGGCAGGCCCAGAACCTAGTCCCTCGCGGCGCTCCTTCTGTCCGGGTCTCCATTCTCTGCTCCACACTCACGCACACAGTCAGGCGGAACTCTCGGGGAGCCCGGATTCAGATATTAGACAAGACTTAAAAAGGGCTGGTAAATGCATTTCAAAAACCCCGAGTCCGGCTCCCTCGGGGAGCAACACCAGGGCCGGCGGCGCGGGCTGTGTACGTGTTTGCGTGTACGTGTTTTCCCGCGGGTGGCTGGGTCCCAGGGTGCCCGCGCGAGTCCGCGCGCAGGAGTGCCGGGGCGTCTGGGTCTCCGCCCACGGTCTCGGGTGGGGCCCGGGCCAGAGGGCGCCCCCGGCCCACGTCTGCCCGGGAGCCCACGAGCCCGGATGCCGGGAGCCCGGCGCCGAGAGCCCCCCGAGCTCGGGAGCCCTTCCGCGGCGGCCGGGCGGAGCTTGGCTCCACGTGGGGCTGGAGAGCGCGCAAGGCCGGAGTCTCGGCGCTCGCCTCTCCGCCGCTGCCGCCTTGTGCGGCGCCCGGCGGCGGAATGGCAGCTCGCGGGGCACTCGGCCGTCCGCCTGGCCCTGCCGGGGCCGCAGGGAGCGGGTGAGCCGCACAGGGAAGCGGCGGCGGCGGCCCGGAGACGAGAGGCGAGCCGAGCGCGCGAGAAGCGAGCGCCCCTGCCCGGCGCCCGGCGCGCTCTCCGCCTTCCTGGCCCGGCGCGCTCGCTCCCTCCTCCTCCCCCTTCCTCCCGGGCCCTGCCTCCTCCCTCGATCCCCGGCTGGATGACTGAGGCATTTCAGACGTGGGCCGAGCCAGCGCAGGCGAGCGAGCTCAGGGGCTGCGGCGATCTCTCGATAAGCCACCTAGAGGCGACTCTGCGCGCGCTCCCCAGTGGCTCCCCGCCCTCCCTCTGATCATGTTGACATATTCACAGGACGGGCAGTAGTACCGATGCGGCGCTGCGACGTTACAGTTTCCGACACCTTCCTTTTATAACTCGGCTCTATCCCCCAGCACTCGACCTGTGAAAACCACGCCTATGCAGCAACACAATTGGTCCGAAAGCGTCAAAGAGCCAATCAAGAGGCCTCCGGCTCCCCGCAGCCCACAGCAGAGCCCGACCTTCTAGAGCCGCCGAGCAGACGCCCGGGGAATTCTAGAGGCGGAGGAGGGTGGCGCGGAGCTCTCGCTCGCTCGCTCGCTCTCGCTCCCTCCCTCTCCTCGCGCTCCCTCTCCCACTCCGCGCCTCTCTCTCCTCTCTGTTTCTCTCTCTCTCTCTCCCCCTCTCCCCTTTTCTTTCCCCCCCACTAAATCCTCCCTGCCCTGCGCGTCTGGACGCAGATTTAGGAAGCGATTTCGCTCACGTTTTAGGACAAGGAAGACAGGCGCGGGAGGAGAGCACGGCAAGACTCGGATTGCAACCCAGACACCCTCCGGAGGCTCGGAGCAGAGGAAGGAGGAGGAGGGCGAACGGAAGCCAGTTTGCAGTTCAAGTTTTGATAGCGCTGGTAGAACAGGGCTTAAATCAGAGAGTTGCTTTTTGTTGTTGTTGTTGTTTCTTTTTAAGGCGAGAGACTTTTCCGCTCTCTCGCTCGCTGGTGAAGCCTGGTCTAGCGCAACTGCAGACGCCTCCAGCGAGAAAGAGGGAGAGGAAGACAGACGGGGGGGCGGGGAAGAAGAAGGAGAAGAAAAGGTAAAAAGTCTCCGAGCGGAGCCGTTCGCATTTGCAACAAAGAACCGGGGGCCGGGGAGCGATTCCCGGGACCGGGGGCTGCGGTGTCTCTTCCGGCGAAGCGGCGGGGCTCGGGCGCGGGTGAGACCCTGCTCGCTCCTCTCGCCGGTGAAACCGACTTCCAGGAGCGGCTTTTTAAAAAAAACGCAAGGCACAAGGACAGTCACCCAAGCGACTATGTCTCCTGATTTCTCGCCTTGCCCTCTTTAAAAGCGGCATCCCCCCCTCCCCAAAAGACTCTTTCCTCCCCCTTCCCTAGGGTGCTCGAGTGGTGATTCCCCCCTTTTCTTTCTTTCGTTCTTTTTCTTTTTTTTTTTTTTTTTTTCCTTTCCAAACTATGTGCTGCTGAAAAACCAAAAACAAAACCAAACAGCAGCTGCGGACTTGTCCCCGGCTGGAGCCCAGCGCCCCGCCTGGAGTGGATGAGCCTCTCCATGAGAGATCCGGTCATTCCTGGGACAAGCATGGCCTACCATCCGTTCCTACCTCACCGGGCGCCGGACTTCGCCATGAGCGCGGTGCTGGGTCACCAGCCGCCCTTCTTCCCCGCGCTGACGCTGCCTCCCAACGGCGCGGCGGCGCTCTCTCTGCCGGGCGCCCTGGCCAAGCCGATCATGGATCAATTGGTGGGGGCGGCCGAGACCGGCATCCCTTTCTCGTCCCTGGGGCCCCAGGCGCATCTGAGGCCTCTGAAGACCATGGAGCCCGAAGAAGAGGTGGAGGATGACCCCAAGGTGCACCTCGAGGCCAAAGAACTTTGGGATCAGTTCCACAAGCGGGGCACCGAGATGGTCATTACCAAGTCGGGAAGGTAAGCAAGTGGCAGGCCCCCCTCCCCCCAAACTATTGGAGGGGTTTTTTTACACCCCCCCCCCTCTTTTTATCTCTTCCCAGAACAGTTAATTTGGGCTTAGAGAAAAACTTTTAAGTTCCCCTGGAACTGTGTACAGACATTCCCGGGCCCTGCTTCTATGGCAGGAAATTTCAGCTTACCTGGGCGTCTGCAGGGGGTACTTTCTCCTACCTAGCTCCGCATCCTGGTTTCCCTACAGGCTAGAATTTTTCCAGGGAGCACTGACACCTCCGCAGGAAGAAAGAAAACCACCCCACTGCAGGAAATTCACTGTTGCAAACCTTTCCATCCTTATGCCTTTGTTGATGTTTTGTTTCGTTTGTTTCGTTTTGTTCCCAGTGAGGAGAACTTTACGCCCTTTTCTTTTGTGTGGTCGTGGGAGACCTGACACTAGCTATCCACTTGCGCTTTTTGCCCCTCCAACCTAGCCTCTGGGTCTGCAGGGGGGGTCTGAGCTTGCCTCTGGCAGGGTCACAGAGAAATTGGAGGGCATTTGGGTTTGTTTGTCCACACCGATTCACGTGTCTGTAATCCGAGGGAGAGTTGAGGCAATTTTGGATAATTAAGATTATGTTTGCAGATCCAAGGAGCCAGTGGAGAGACACATACTGCTTTTTTACGTGTGGATCTTATCAACCACATTTTACATAATTTTCAAAAGGTCCTTGCCTGACCGAAACCTGCCTGTCACTTAAAATCACTGATTTTTTTTTAATGGCCTTGACATCTATGAAGGCGTAACATTGGAATAATAAAAAGAAAATCCCTCTCTTGATGTCTTGAGCTTTCTGTGTCTTTTCCTAGCTAAACGAGGCCAAAGTTTTGGCAGAAAATCCTCAAACCCAGAAGACATTTCCTCAGTTTCACAGCGAAGTGCTTCCTTTTAAGTCAAGGCTCTAGAATGCCAACACTCCTGAGAAATAAAAGTCAGTTTGGTGGTACAATCTTGCAGTTTGGGACCAGCCTGAGCCAGAGGAGAAACGCGGTTAGCAGGCGTGCGAGGCAGATCGGTTATCAGGCCCAGGAGTCCAGCCCAAACTACAAAATTCGTTTTGAGAACTCACTGAAGGCCAGTTTCATTTCGCCAGCCACGGGATTCCTGTTCCGTAGCAGGGAGGGTGGAGGTTTATTTCCTAACATTTTCTCATCAATGGAATGGTGGAAAATTCTAGCCTTGACTGACCCCACTTTACTAAAATCCTACCCCAAGCAGTTTAGAAGTAGACACTCAAAGGGAAGAGCACAGGCAAGAATTTCTCTGTAAAGAGGGCCATCTGTGAAGTCCTACAAGAGGAAAAAATTGTGGAGAAAGTATTAGACGCTGCAAAGAACTGTAGTGCAATATTCACTTGTTTGAACCTTGGGACTGAGCATATGTAATGCTTGGGCCGTGAAAGAATAGGATTTTGCACTCAGTGGCTCTCACACCAAAGCCCATCAGTCAATCACAATAGAGAAGTTTTAAATTTGATTTAAGTATTTCAGGGTAAATAGGGAATCAAAGCCAAGAGTCTGAGTGATTTCTTTTTCTTTCTTCTTTTCTCTTCCCTCCAATTGTAGGCGAATGTTTCCTCCATTTAAAGTAAGATGTTCTGGGCTGGATAAAAAAGCCAAGTATATCTTGTTGATGGACATTATAGCTGCTGATGACTGTCGATATAAATTTCATAATTCTCGGTGGATGGTGGCGGGTAAGGCTGACCCTGAAATGCCAAAGAGAATGTACATTCACCCAGACAGCCCTGCTACCGGGGAACAGTGGATGTCCAAAGTTGTCACTTTCCACAAACTGAAACTCACCAACAACATTTCGGACAAACACGGATTTGTAAGTTACTCGGCTCCCCTCAGGAAAATGTCCTCTTTCTTCACCCTAGGGAAGGCAGTACTTATCCTCTCCTTGCAAAAATCACCAGTTTCTGCTCAGGCTTCTCCCTTGCTCTCTGTTGCTAAGCATAGCAAAGTTTTTGAATCCGAAACAGGATTCCGGGGTGTTTCTCTTCGGATAATGGAAGGCCTGGCGTTCTCAAAAAAAAAAAAAAAAAAAATTGAGGGCCAAAACACTAACCGCTCACGTCCTGTGGCCATCCCAGATCTTGGTAAACGGCTGACAGTGAAGATAAAAACCAATCGTTACGATACAAAATCAATTTTTAAAGTTATGTGTGCGCCAGGGATTGGTTCTGAGCTATCATACTTCTGTTTTGAACCAGAATTATTATTTCTTGTGGGAGTTTTAAGGTTCAGAGGCTTGGCTACATTGGTTAAAGGGGGTGAATGCATTTTTTGAGAGATTTCTTTCTTCTGTGAAAAAAGAATATGGGGCTGAGGTGAAAGTCAGGTTTACTAGAAATGAGGCTGAGCTCTCCAGGATAAAAACTCTGTGTGTGTGTGTGTGTGTGTCTGTATGGGTCTCTGTTGGGAGTGTATATATGGATTCAGTGGGGGAGTCCTTAGAAACTTTTAGGAGACTAGAATTGCTTATAAAAGTCAAGCAAAACACCTTTTGCCCCCTGCCCTTACCTCTCCCCAACATTTCAACAAATAAAGCCGAGTGATAAGCGAGGAATCAGCAGAAAGATTAGGCCCAGGAAGACGTGAATGGCACGGAAGTATCTTCAAGCGGGCGCGGATCGCCTTTGAAGCCCTTGATTTGATTAAGGCATAAATATTCCTCTCTAGAGTTCAACCTTTCAGGGCTTTAAGTGGATTGGGCTCGTCAATTAGTGGGCACTTAAAGGACTGAATCATTTTGTAAATTAAAATGCATGTTTTTCTCTATCTTTTAAGACTTTGGCCTTCCCAAGCGATCACGCAACGTGGCAGGGGAATTATAGTTTTGGTACTCAGGTAGGCTAGGGTTCAAGGTACGAACGGACCTTAGGTGGTGAGGGTGGGGGGACCCTTTGGAAATTGAGGAGCAATTTGGATTCTCCAGAAGAGGATATCTGTGGAGCGGAATGTACCCAAAGAGGTACTCCGAGGAGAGGAGGTGGGCTCGGCATAAGCGTGGTACCCTTCGGTGGGGTAGACGTCAGCCTGGCAGGGGTCCTGAGGTCCCATTGGTCCCACTAAATCTTTTTTTTTTTTTATGTGTCTCCCCTTCTCCCTGCTCCCCTCCACCTCCCCCCCCACCCCCCCACCCCCCGCAGACAATATTGAACTCCATGCACAAATACCAGCCTCGGTTCCACATTGTGAGAGCCAATGACATCTTGAAACTTCCCTATAGTACATTTCGGACTTACTTGTTCCCCGAAACCGAATTCATCGCTGTGACGGCATACCAGAACGATAAGGTAACCAAAGGCGCTTTTCTTTTTAATGGCTATACTTTTCCCTCCCACCTTTAGGCCGCTCTGGGTGAGGTGGAGAAAGTTAGAAAAGATTAGGGATGGGAGTCTTGAGTTTTTCTTCTGTGATTTGACCCTTCCGTGGAGCTTTTGGGGAAAGGGGGTCTGGCACGTCACAGAGGCAGGGGAAAACAAAACAAAACAGAAAAAAACAGAACAAAGCAAAACAAAAA